AGTTTTCCGCAATGTTTTTCGTGTCGGTCGATTTTGGGTTCGGTTAATTGCAGGGTTGTCTGCAATTTCTAAAAGATTCCTCATACTGGTTATGTTACCAACATCAGTCGGGGTTATCCGTCTCTCGTGGTCTAGAGACAGATCGCGCAGTTTGCAACCGTTTCGGTCGTTAAGAAATCGAGGATAACGTGTAAGTGTATGACATAATTCCGTAATGTCATTGTGGGTCGTTTATGCTTTTTCTTTGACTGAAATCACCTCGTCATTAGATGACCACGTGATTTCCAAGATGTGGTCGGCAGATGCAGCCAGTTCATCTACGGAGAGATAAATACTGCTGAGGAAATTCAAAAAAGACAAATTGTCCGAATAGATCGCCATCGAAAGTTCTTTGGCCAATCACCCCTCTCATTCTTACAACATATCTGTCGCAGAACCATATCGCAGGTCGATACTATTAAGGGGTTGTCGATCGAATAGATATCAGCGTTTCAGAATCAACCAAGTCAGGGTTTCGTAAGGTTCCAAAACCTCAGTAGTAAACATGCAATTGTAACGTATCTGTTGAAATCGCGCGGCAGTGCTTTTACTACCGCGGGGAACTGTGCGCGTGGATCAGTCATGCCGCGCTCGTAGAAGTCGGCTTCTGCGTGGCAGAACTAGGCTGCGATGCTGTCCGGACAAAAAGGCATTAGCTGAAATGAGGGTGGTATGAGTGTCTTGATCATAAGTAGCTCAGAAGTCTGTTATGTCGTGGTGAATTTAAAGTGTAGAAATGTACGACGGAGAAAATATCCCAAATTACGAAAAATATATCACATTATATAAAAAATTAAAACAAAGCAATGATTTATGAAACTCCGCCTGTAGCTCTTCTAGAGTTACTGCCGGTCCCAAGAACGAGTAAATGAGGAGGATTGGGCATCGGATTAGCGACCCCATCCCGTAGAAAAGCTAACTTGCTAAAAAAACGCTAACCAAAATAAATGATTAAAACCATTTAAACTCTGCCCTGGGAGTTGAAGGAATAATGACGTCTCATGATGAAAGCCGAAGTTCTTCGGAAGTCACGAGACCGATGCACCTTCTGACAACCAGAGCAACACTCTTTATAGGTACATGGAACGTCCGGACAATGTGGGAGACGTAATGCAATTGGACGACATGAACTAGGAGAGAAAAATGAAAATGGGGAGAGACTTGCAAACTTATGTGCATTCAACAAATCGGTTATAGGCGGCACAATATTCCCACACAAACGCATAAACAAAGCTACGTGGATCTCACCGGACCAAACTACAGAGAACCAGATAGACCACATATGTATCAACAAAAAATTCCGAAGATCAATGGAAGATGTGAGAACCCGGAGAGAAGCTGACATAGCTTCAGATCACCACCTGGTTGTGGCCAAGATGAGACTGAAGCTAAAGAAAGACTGGACAACTGGACAAACAGTACTACAAAGGTTCAATACAGCCTTCCTTCGAGATATTGACAAGCTCCATGAATTCAAGATAACTCTCAACAACAGGTTTCAGGCTCTACAGGATCTACTGAAAGAACAAGAAATTACTTTGGAGGACAACTGGAAAGGGATAAAAGAAGCACTAACTTCAATGTGTCAGGAGGTTCTTGGTCCTAAGAAGCATCATCACAAAGAATGGATCTCTATGTGAACCCTGGACAAAATTCAAGAAAGGATGAACAAGAAACTAGCAATTAACAACAGCCGAACACGAGCAGAGAAAGTCAAAGCACAAGCAAACTACGCAGAAGCAAACAGAGAATTGAAGAAAAGCAGAAATATATGGGAGAACTAGCAACGGTGGTGTAAAAAGCTGCAAGAGAAGGGAATATGAAACAACTATATGATACAACGAAGAAATTGGTAGGGAGATATAGCAAACCAGAGAGACCAGTCAAGGACAAAGAAGGAAAGACAATCATGGACATCCAAGTACAGAGGAAAATATGGGTAGAATACTTCGAGGAACTGTTGAATAGACCAGCCCCATTATATCCACCGAACATCGAAGCAGCACACACTGACCTTCCTATAGATGTCACTCCACCAACGATCGAAGAAGTCAAGATGGCCATCAGACAAATCAAAAGTGGGAAGGCGGCAGGACCTGACAATATACCAGCAGAAGCACTGAAGTCAGACATTGAAATAACTTCAAATATGCTTCACCTTCTATTCAAGAAGATTTGGGAAGAGGAACAAGTGCCAATGGACTGGAAAGAAGGATATCTCATCAAGATACCAAAGTAAGGAGATCTGAGCAAATGTGAGAACTACAGAGGCATCAGTTTGTTATCAGTACCAGGAAAAGTTTTCAACAGAGTGCTGCTGAATCGGATGAAAGACGCAGTAGACGCCGAACTTCGGGATCATCAGACTGGATTCCGTAAGGATCGGTCGTGCACAGACCAGATTGCGACACTACGGATCATCGTGGAACAATCAGTTGAGTGGATCTCATCACTATACGTCAACTTTATTGACTATGAGAAGGCGTTTGACAGCGTGGACAGGAGAACATTATGGAAACTTCTTCGACACTATGGAGTTCCTGAAAAGATTGTCAACATTATCCAAAACTCATACGATGGACTACAGTGCAAAGTGGTGCATGGAGGACAGCTGACAGATGCATTTCCAGTAAGGACCGGAGTCAGACAAGGCTGTCTACTCTCCCCATTCCTCTTCTTTCTGGTGATTGACTGGATTATGAAGAATTCGACATCTGAGGGGAAATACGGAATACAATGGACTTCTCATAATTAATTAGATGATTTGGACTTCGCAGATGACCTAGCCCTCCTCTCTCATACACACGAACAAATGCAGATGAAGACAGCAAATGTAGCAGCAGCCTCCGCATCGATAGGCCTCCACATTCACAATGGAAAAAGCAAGATTCTCAAATGCAACACGGAGAACACCAACCCAATCACACTTGATGGCGAAACTCTGGAAGAGGTGGAAACATTCACGTACCTGGGGAGCATCGTTGATAAACAAGGGGGATCGGATGCAAATGTAAAGGCGAGGATCGGCAAACCAAGGACAGCATTTCTACAATTGAAGAACATATGGAACTCAAAACAACTCTCAACCAATTTCAAGGTCAGAATCTTTAATACGAACGTCAAGACAGTCCTACTGTACGGAGCTGAAACGTGGAGAACTACTACGACCATTATCAGGAAGGTACAAGTATTTATCAACAGCTGTCTATGCAAAATACTCAACATCCATTGGCCGGATACTATCAACAATAGCGTTTTGTGGGAGAGGACAAACCAGTTTCCAGCTAGACAGGATATTAGGAAAAGACTTTGGAAGTCGATTGGACATACATTAAGGAAATCACCAACGTGCAATTCGTAATTTGGAATCCGGAAGGGAAGTGGAAAAGATGAAGACCGAAGAACACATTATGCCGGGAAATAGAAGCAGATATGAAAAGGATGAATAAAAACTGGAAAGAACTTGAAAGGAAAGCTCAGGACAGATTTGGATGGAGAATGCTGATGAGCGGCCTATGCTCCTCGACGAGAGGCAACAGGCATAAGTAAGTAAGTAAGTAATGATTTATGAAGTTCCGAAAAGAAACAGATTCACTGTTTGTTGATTGGCGTAACAAATCACGTCAATCTCACCAATAACGATACCTCAGGTATTGTAGCTTGACAACACTACCAGTAACACCATCGATAATTGAATCGCGCCAAAAAAGTAACATTTAAAGTCAGAAACGAAGAGGTTGGAAGATATATTTGATAGATTGTCACTACATCGAGAAGTGACTAATCTAAACTGGCTAGCGATCGCGGGAGACGTTGAGTACGCCGTTTCAACTCGTGATCTGGTGCGAATGCCTGACCGAGCGCCTTCAGCTAGTTGAGTTCATTAAAATTAATGTGGTCAGCATCCAATGTCAAACGCTTACAGAGCTATTTATTTTGGGGATTTATTTACGGCTACAAGATAAAATATCTGGTCAAGGAGGAGGCAATGGAATCTCTTCAATTTGATTCCGCGACAGAATTTTCAATATCCTTATACATATTTCGATAGAAGACACTGTCGAAATTACCTCTGAACCATTCAAAAAGACGACTGATGGCTAGTTTGACACTACATCAGACTTGCTTTTGATTATTTCAAGTTTGAGAAGGACCAAACCGATGGTCTTTACTTCTGTTGGGAATGTTAACACAGACTTGTTTTCTAATTAGTCTTTGTGAATATTCGCTCTCATAATTGCACAAATACGATTATTGACCGTAACATCTTTTTTGAAAAACGTGACTTCGTAACTTTCATACCCGTTTGTGAACACACATAGCATGACCCATCAATTATCACTCAGAAACGCATTGCCGCACACATAGGCTATTCTACTTTTCGGACAGACCAATTTATTCATTCCTCTAAAGCCACAATTTGACCTTTTCACTTATTCACTTATTAACCCCTATTGTTTCCATGTGATCGTATATGTGTTATTTGCTTTCCCTATTCATTACGTGTGTGTAATATTTTTTGATCGGAATATAAACGTTGAGTAACGCTTGGCTAAATTGGACTGGTTAACTCGTCTTCTCAGCTGAGCGTCATTTCGTTTCGTTTCACTCTCTACTCCTTGCTTTCTCAACTTCCTTTCTCTGATTGTATGTTCACATCTCTGAGTGTACGAAATATAAGCATTCAAACTCCATTCACATATTTGGCCTACTTGATTCCATTATTCGCCAACGTGAATAAGGTCGATAATTATATACGAGGGTATATGAGATGTACATTTCAGTAACAATCATTTATCTAGTCATCAAGCGCTTAACTGTAGTTAGTTATCGAGCGAACAAACTTCCAATTATGTCAGGACCCTTTATAGAAGTTGAAAGGCAGATTTAAAGAAACAGTGATCCAGTTTATACCGTACAACGTTTAGTGTTTGGTGGGATGGAACATTTTGTTGTCGCGGTAAAAACGTCAATTGCGCTACTGACAAGTTCTAAATCATAGATGGTTGATAAGAGCGAAGTTTCAGCTACTCAGGATGTAGAGACACATCATGACAGTAAACAAAAGAAAAAACGAAACAAATTAATAGGTGATATAATGGAGCCTAACTTTTCACTTAAGCATTTAGATTTGACACTTAAGGAACTTCCCCAAAGTGCTTCGAGTGATGTCAAGTTCGAATATATATGTCAGAAATACTATGAACTTTATCAAGATCAGAAAGAAAACTCTTCAAAAAACAAACAATTTGAACAGAGTATTCAACAGGTAGGTCTAGCTGTTCACATGGTTCAAACTGCCTGTTAGATTAAACTGTAGTTACCGAAGTAACAGGGGCCACCGCTTATTAATAGGATAAGAATTTGGTGAGACTATGATTCATGGTCGACCTATGAGCGACGCTGACTGACCTTGGGAGTGTCAACCTAATGACCCGGACCAAATGAGTGTTATAAACCTGTGTGAGGAATTCGGGTTAATATTTACTGATGGTAGTTAGGGTTAGGAGTTAGATTCTGGGTGATCATCACGAACTGACACCAGCTATAATGGCAAAACCTTTATTATCCTAGTGGATGAGTGGTAGTTAGAGTTAGGAATGAGATTTCGGGTCTTTATCACCGGCACCAGCCATAATGTCATAATTGTATTTATCCAAATGGCTGAGTGAATTTCGCACCAAAATCTGACACCTGTCATCCTAAATTTGGTTGGTTCGTCCATGAATTATAGTCTCGCCTTAACTGACCTTATATTACAATGCGAAAATTGCCTTGAAAACGTCTAGCTTATCGGGGTTAAATTAGGATTGTATGTTAGTGTGAGGGATTCGGATTAGAGTGTAAATGTGGACGTTACGGATGATAATTAGATCTAAGGTTCTTATCACGAACTGACATCAGATATTATGCCAAAATACTATTTGACCTAGTGGATAAATGAATTCCATGTTAAAATCTAAGATCTGAAGTCCTAAATCTGATTGACTCGTCCATAAACTATAGTTTTGCCTCCGTAAATTATATTCTCATCAATACTTTTGTGTGCTAAGACTTGCGTGGTATGCGAAGTAGTTTTCGTGATGCGATTCTTTCCCTCGAAATGCAAAATGTCACTTCAGGATTGGGTTTCATCGGCACCTGAACCAATGATAGGGAGTGATGTAGATGAGCGTGTTGACAGCTTCACTTATCTTGGGAGTCTCATCAGCCCTTGTGGTCTGGTGTGTGACAAAATCTCAGCACGGATACAGAAGGCTCGTCTAGCTTTCGCCAACTTGCGCCATTTATGGCGTAGGTGAGATATCCGTCTAACAACAAAAGGACGGGTTTACTGTGCAGCAGTTCGTTCAGTCCTACTTTATGGCAGTGAAACATGGCCGATAAGAGTAGAGGATATTCGTAGGCTACTAGTGTTCGTTCATAGGTGTCTTCGACGCATTGCTCGTATATCCTGGGACCACCGGGTAAGTAATGCAGTTGTTAGGAAACGGGTTTATTTATTATTTATTTTATTTAAACACATATATATTGGTACAAAAGGGCACCAGGTACATATGCGCCACACTATTGTGTGTACGGGTACTAGGTAAGGATGGTAAATCGATTGATGAAGTAGGGAAACTTCATCAGTTGAGGTGGCTGGGACATGTGTTACGTATGCCCAACCACCGACTGCCCCGACGTGCAATGATTTATGGTGTAGGAGTAGGTTGGAAGAAATCTAGGGGTGGCCAGACCAAAACATGGCATAAATCCATGAAGTCGCTGACAAGTGGACTGGGGCATGTTGGTAGGTGTAGACTATCTGGTTGGTATTCGCGAGATGATAGCAATCGATGGTTAGAGACCTTGAATGACATGGCTCAAAATCGTTTGCAATGGCGAAGGTACATCCACTCTTTGTGTTCTACCAAATTCTAATTCTCTGGATTCTTCATGTCCGTATCGTTTTTCTCTTTCCAAATTTATTTCACCGGAATATACTTCTTCAATAACACCTTCAATCCCTTATCTTTCACATAATACTTATACTCTTGCTACTTCTACCACTACGGGATTTTAATCGACAACTTCATCTCTGTGCTAATGTGGTATGGCAACTCGAACTGATGTACGTCCGTACGAAGTTCTACGTTGTATCTGACTGACTGACTGAAGTAGTTTTCTCCTAATTAATAGAGAGTTTGATGGCATTACACGTTCTTCTCAAAGTTTTTCGTTGTGACCAAACTAAACATTTATTAATGTATTGCCATGGGTCGACTTTCTGGAATCCATGTGTTCGAAATCGCTTGGAGTGTTTAATAGTATGATCTTGTAATTGAAGTGAACTAGAGTGTGTCTATTATAGCGATAAAATGAATCCATTATTAATCTTCGCAAGTTTGCGACAAGCTTTACTTTAGTGCTAAATATCTTGAAAGCTATTTGGTAAATATTAGTGTACATTTCTTTTAATAGGTTAGTTTCAAATTACGGAATATAAATCATTTATTGTTTGTTAAGTTGACGGTTATATCATGGACTGAATTCAAAGCTCTAGCTTTTTGAAACTAGGAAAATTTAGTTTATTTGTCAATTCACCATCCTTAAATGCCTCTGTCAGCCTATGTATCTCAATAAACACGCTTACACCGTTAGATCTACGTTCATGTCAATACTACTAAATGTAGAATGACCATTTTATTAACATCTGTTAGTTCGGCTATTACATCATAAACATACCAGCACCATATTTAATTGAGCACGATACTAGGCATAATCGAGCGTGATTAGTTTGAATTTGGGATGAGAGATAGATACCAAACTGTTTCTTACATAAATAAAAGTGTTCACACTCCTGGGTGTCTTTAAATTTAATCTTGTGACAATTAATCTTCTGATCAGGATGATTATGTGCTGTTCTCTTTTTGTTATACTTTTTTATTGGTACACCTTTTTACGAGATCTTTCTCAGTTAATCTTTCGTACCAAGTTTGTGCCTTTAAAATGTTTTGTTTCATAGAGTAAGTACGAGGTTGGTACGTATTTACATGGTTTCAAAGTTACTATTGGTTATAATGGCTTCCTTCTAGGTACTTTTTATAAAGACAGCTATTTGATCTACCATGTAGGGATTATAGTCTTATTGTATAAAAACACTAAAATCACTCGTACTCGTTGAACGAAGATAATGCACATAAAGCATCAATAACATTTGTCCTAGCACATTAGTTTTGTGTAATTTCTCCCATTGTCATGGTCTTAGGCTTACTATATTCTATTCTTACCTTTACAAAATTGTCTTACTTTAATCACATTTCATTGTTTCAAAGGTTATTTCCACTCGGAATTCTTTATGTTTATTTAAACATTCAACTTAGTAGCACTCAAGTTTGCGTCACTCACCCTGAATAACTATTCTATTATAACTGCGTGGTAAAGTTTTACAGTATAACTCACAGTTTGACAAACAATTTATTCAGTCAGTTATTATTAACTTAGAGCGTGGCAGGAGTATGTGTCGACCTGGATTGTCACACTTTGTTTCTGTATACGGAAAGAAAACAAGATAGGAAGCATTAAATGAGTCATAATACCAGAAATAAAAATTGGAACATATGGATCACAGTTTGAAGGGAATAAATATGATCCAAGGATGAAAAGAAAGGAATGACACTTAACTTAAAATTTAAAGGAATATGGAAAACAAATGCAACTGTACTATCGCGACCAACTTTACGCCATCTCAACTGTCTCTGACCATTGATTGCGTGTATTGCTCTAGCCTCAATCAGTAATTTTACATCCAACTACATAGCTTAGACTAATAGTCAACGATGCGGACTGATACAATGTCTTTAGTTGGTCATTTGTAGCTATTTCTGTTTAGGAAATCCAAAGTATTACTCGAAAAAGTTCAGAGGGGCCTCGAAACGCTGGGAAACAGTTTATCCATTCAGTGTTGAGTATAGGTATCCTGGGAACATCTTTAAAGTAAAGATTTATTTGCGATATTTCCCATTTCAAAACAATGATCGTTGTCAATTTCAAATGATATTTTCCAGTAGTGAGACTTCAACAAATTGGGCATTCATAAAGGACTTGTTGTTGATTGCAGTTGTTACAAAGTCATATATACACGATACTGTTAATTCACGAACTCAATGTAGTAAACTCTAGTGAAACTAAGCAGTTTTTATTGAATGAAAACAATTACGTGGGTATAAAAAGCCGTATTTTTTATTTTATCAACAATGTGCATCAATTATTAAGTGAACAATCATGAAAGTGTTATGTAGTTCCATGAAACAGTTTCCAATTCATTGGAATGATTAACACAATATAAGACGTATTTGAATACAAACAAAATGAAAATAACAATGTCAGCATGATGAAAGTAAGTGATAAGACGTTTTTGTGATTCATGGATTGTATTTCTTCCTCCTGTATAACCACAGACAAATGACACAGACAATGCATACAACGAAAAAACGACAACAAGTGGTATAACAATGTACAGGGAATTGATTGAATTTCTTTGTTCTTTGTTTTCAGTCATTCTTTCAGTAATATTCTGGAAAAAACGGAATAGTATAATAACAAAATGTCTAATACTTGCCAATTGATATTCAGTTGTTTGAGTGGTTTTGGTCAATTCATTTGTTAAGTCAGGTTCGGTGATACCTGTCGTTGGTTCTCCGTGATATGGAAGTGTTGGCTCACTCGAAGCGTCGACAATCGAACTACTCTGAGGAAGGAAACATTTGAAATATTACTAAATATATAATATTTACCAAATATGATTCAGTTATTTGAGTGGTTTTGGTCAATTCATTTGTTAAGTCAGGTTCAGTGATATCTGTCGTTGTTTCTCTTTGATTGATAAGTGTTGCTTCATTGGAAGCGTCAATGTAGGTAATGTTTAGGGATACGTATTGTTTGGCCTTTCCAACTCGGACGACTACGGCTTGTATTATTATCATTTGGTTCTCTTCTTACATCTATTTTCATACATATAGCATTAGCAATAATTATTTGGTCGTTCAGCCATATCCCAGCAACACTACGGGAAAACACGTAGATTTTTTTAGCCTACGTGTCATACTTTCATGTGCTGTTTCACGGTCGCACACTATTACAGAGTGGGTTTTCGCAAAATATATTTGGCCCTTGGTTCAAGAACTTGCCAAAAGTGAATATTTGACCTATACGTTCATGCGCAGGTCTGAAATCAGTTTAATTTGGCGTTTGTGAAAACCAATCAAGCGTTAAATGATTATATATTCTAACGTCTCAGAGACTATTTTAGTCAAACTGATTCCTAGTGTACCTATTAATGGAAGATTTGACTAATAGTCAACGATGCGTACTGGTACAATGTCTTTAGTTGGTCATTTGTAGCTATTTCTGTTGAGGAAATCCAAAGTATTACTCGAAAAAGATCAGAGGGGCCTCGAAACGCTGGGAAACAGTTTATCCATTCAGTGTTGAGTATAGGTATCCTGGGAACATCTTTAAAGTAAAGATTTATTTGCGATATTTCCGATTTCAAAACAATGATCGTTGTCAATTTCAAATGATATTTTCCAGTAGTGAGACTTCAACAAATTGGGCATTCATAAAGGACTTGTTGTTGATTGCAGTTGTCATAAAGTCATATATACACGATACTGTTAATTCACGAACTCAATGTAGTAAACTCTAGTGAAACTAAGCAGTTTTTATTGAATGAAAACAATTACGTGGGTATAAAAAGCCTTTCCAACTCGGACGACTACGGCTTGTATTATTATCATTTGGTTCTCTCCTTACATCTAGTTTCGTGCACATAGAATTAGCAATAATTATTTGGTCGTTCAGCCATATCCCATCAATACTACGGGAAAACACGTAGTCAGATTCTTTTAGCCTACGTGTCTTACTTTCATGTGCTGTTTCACGGTCTCACACTATTACAGAGTGGGTTTTCGCAAAATATATTTGCCCCTTGGTTAGAAGGTGGGCATCTTGCTTCTGTGTTTGTTCAAGAACTTGCCAAAAGTGAATATTTGACCTGTACGTTCATGCGCAGGTCTGAAATCAGTTTAATTTGGCGTTTGTGAACATCAATCAGGCGTTAAATGATTATATATTCTAACGTCTCAGAGACTATTTTAGTCAAACTGATTCCTAGTGTACCTATTAATGGAAGAATTGAGTTCTTTTTACTGAACTGTGATGATCAGCGTTCACAAACAGTGTGACGTAATCCTATGTAGCTTCCAGACTTTAGCTAATACCTTAATTAATAATACTACTGAAACTAAATCACTGTCTTTAAAAATCTCTGAAAATAGTTCATCAAACCTAGCTACTCTTTGTCTTAAGTCAGTTATGCTTCTCCTTCGTTGAGAATTACAATCATGATATCAATCTCTAGTTCAGGTTGTTGGTGACTAGTGAATAATTGAGAAATAACTAAAGGATAGTCTGTCTGTTAAGTTATTTTATTCTTCATCTCGGTCACCTAGTCTAATGGCAGACCAAGGTAACACTTTTTTGTTGATAAACGTATAATTTATTACGTATTTCCATACTGAATTAAATTTTTTTCTTACAACGTAATGATGATTGTCAAATTAGTCATTCTTCTTGATATGATGTGCAAAGACTTAATTAGTCGAAGCTCGAATGACGTGCATAATCGATTTGTTTTCCCAATCGTCTCTGTTATATAATTACATTTTATAAAGAATTAATCGCATAAGTCATATCTATTACTTACTTACTTACTTACTTGTGCCTGTTACTCCCAATGGAGTATAGGCCGCCGACCAGCTTTCTCCAACCCACTCTGTCCTGGGCCTTCTTTTCTAGTTCTATCCAGTTCTTGTTGATTCTTCTCATGTTTGTCTCTATTTCTCGGCGTAATGTGTTCTTTGGTCTTCCTCTTCTCCTTTGGCCTTCAGGATTCCATGTGAGGGCTTGTCATATATAAGTTATATCTATTGGTTATAGATAATTCATTTTACTATGTAAATCTGTGTGCATACAATAAGCTATTTGCCAATTGCTACTCAGCTTAACGTATACAAATCTGATTGTTAATTAGTGTATTCCGATATCCATTTTAACTTATTTTAGGCATTAAATAAATCTTCTATCGTTTTCTTGTTACTTACATTGTACTGTTTGTAAATTCAGTACCAGTTATCTAAGATTACAATAACTATCGTTTATGTGTTTTTGGAAGGGTCAATAAAATCTTCACTAATATTTGTGTTCTTGCTTGAATTGTGGAAATCTCAAATGTGATATGTCTTAGTGAAAATAAAATGTGATTGGTCTCTGAGTGTGGACATTTAGGGATAGCCTACTGACTATTAGATGTAGGATATCCTTTCTCATTGGTTTACACATTAGACTCACTGAGACTGGCTGTTAGTTTGTTGGATAAAGTATTATCTAGTATATATTCTGATTCTCTATTCTGGGTCGTGAATCCTAGTTTTGATATAACGTGACTAGTCTCATTTTCTTAATAACGTAATATCATAGTATACCAGAGAGCTAGAAGAAGAGATACATGTTAAGCAATCCGTTATATCACAATGGTTCCCAGTTCTAAGTATTACTTTTAAATGATGATGCAATTCATTTGCCAAAAATCGATTTCTTCATTCGACTTTAATGTAAATTTTAAAACTATTCTTATGCATTGCTTGTATATATCCATTTAAGGTGCGCGTTGAACGTGATCAACTCCAGAATGAACGTAATCGTCTAATTCTACAAAAGGATAAACTTGAAACTTTATGTCGTGAATTACAAAAACAAAATAAAATCATTCAGGTTGGAAATTTGTTTGTTGTTTCCTTTTTGGTTAATCATTTTGACTACAAACTTTTTTTCCCAAACCAAGAAAGGTGGAACGGAACTGGAATCTGCAGCCCAGCGGTTGAAAGTTGAACCCCTCAATCACCAAGTCACCTACCTTTTCTATCGTTAAATCATAAACTCGAACCTCATTTGACCTTTTTCGTATTACGTTTAGTTGGGTAGTATCATCAAGCTGAATGTATCTGGTTATATGACTTAATGGAGGGGACCTTAATGCATTACACTTTAAGGCACAATAACAACAACACAGTTTTCAAACTCTAATGTCCCAATGAATCAGGTATTCGTCGGAACGATAGATCTTAAATAGAGGGAAATGTATATGTTGGTTTTCCATAGTACTCAGTAGCATAAATGATACTATGTTTGTAGGCGCATCCTTCGTGTTTGTGGTTAACACGGTTATCGTGACTAAGAGTTAGTGACCTCTGGTGACACGAATCAGAATCGGTCTCAATCAAAAGTGCGTTACAAATTCTAGTCTATGAATTAATTATTCCTTCTCAAATCACATACTTCAAATCTTGAGGTACATGTAGTGGCTAACGCGTCTATACATTTGGATGAGACACTGATTCCTGTATTGATTAAGAAGGCACTAACCACAGCATATGACATTGAAAATGATACCTGGCAACTGTGGCTATCAACAATTGAATGGGGAGACTAAGAGCACAAAAATATGGAAGCTGTTGGGTTTTAACAAACAATCAAGAAAGTAACTGTTACAAGTGTTTCGAGTATTTAACTGCAATAATAAATGGAGCGAATGTTACTGGTTTAGGTAAATACTTAAGAATATTATTTGGTAACGAATAGAACAGGTTACTGAATATTAGTAAGTAGTATGGAGTAATACACAAAAGAGTTTTGTAAAATGAGTAACAATGAATGTAGACGAAATTAACATCTACTGTTTGAAATTTATGTCCTTATTACTTCAGGAAGAAAGCTTGTCACGTGCACGTATTGAAGACGAAAAACGTCGGGAAGTTTCAGATCATTTTCAAACAAGTATAACAAGTATCCAAAATCAATTATGTGAATATCAATTGAAAAATGTGGAATTACGTAAAGAGAATCAAGAATTAGCTGATAAATTGGGTGAATTTATTAAACAGCATGAAAAACGTGAAGAACATGTAGATAAGGTTAGTATGTCTAGTGGTCTGCTTTACTAATCATTATTATGCCTTAAGTAACCTATTTCACTTACCTTTTGTCTTCCTCCACCACCTTCTTTTCATCGGATCTCAACAATTCGGAAATTTTTGAGTTAGCGGAAGGGATTATGTGAACACAAGCCTCATATCTAGGTTTTACTTATCACACATTAGTTTCGGTTGTCACATTGTTTAAAGCAGAAGAGCACGGCTCAGCTGTTTCCGTCTAGTTGAAATTGTACAATCAAACCACTGAATTGGATATTCGTCGCAATGCGAAAAGATACTGTATTCGATCTCTAGTGGAGACGTGGTTGCGCACTGTACCAGTCCACATACTTAAATAGAATATTTGTTTTAGTACTCATTGGTTTTCAAAAGTATTCTAACTGAAGCTGATCTACAAGTTTTCGAATCGATCAAAATGCATTCTTCCTTAACTGCCTTGTTTTTTATAAGATGAATATATATGTATAAAATGCCTCAGTCACTGTTTATCGCAAACTGTTATGTCCATTAGGGTAGGAGTGAGCTGGGAAAAGCTTAGGAACAGCCAAAATTGAACATGGTCTGAAACCATAAAGTTATCAACTATTAATCTACGCCATGTGGGGAGGTAGTGAACTCCATTTACGGGATCCTCAAGATAATTATATCCTATACTCAAAGCGTCTAGGTTCCTAGTAGCTCAAAATTAAAAGTTTCATGGCTTCCATTGATTATTTTGTTCCAGATTGTTTTCAATCAGTTTCCTCTCGCTTCACCGAGAAATTATAATAATTGACGTTCGCAAACATTTCTGGTAGGCCGTATGTTGTTGAATTGCTTAGTTGAAATTAGTTTCTAATCAACGAAGCTTAAGAATATGTTGTTTGTAAAGGATTTTCTTCTCGGTCGAGAGCTCAAGTATTGTATATGAAAACCGTTGAAACTCAACAAAAGATTAAGTAATTACATCCTGTGTATCTTAACTACTTTATATGAAATAAGTAGTTAAACTAGTTTGAAACAAATTTATATGAGACGAACAGATGACATTACGATTAGACCTAGTTACTTCAAAGTATAAAAATTCTCTTTATGGAATCAAACTGCACTTCACACAGTAGAGACTTGAATATCTCCTTCAGCAGGTAGTTTAACTTCTGTCTTATAACTTTACTCTACTGACACAATAATATGGGTGATAAGTATAGGGTTTTTGCACGTAGTTTGAATTCATACTCAATTCTCTTGAGACCATCTGTCAATACTACCCAGCTGCTGAAATCTAAATACTTGATGTAAAGCTTCAAGGTTTATTATATTACCCATAGGAAAGGTAAATGCTTGTTCTGGTGCACTCACACATACATGTATATATGTATAGTCTTTATCATACCTCATAATATTTTCACTCATTCTTACAGCTTATGGAAACACGTAGTTTAGAATTGAAATTATCTGAAGCAAAATTAAACAAGGCACAATGTTTATTGGATCAGGAAAAAGCAAAGAGTCAACAGAAAATTCTTGCATTAGAAGAGGAAGTGAAATATTTAAAGAGTCGTCTGGAAATTCAAAAAACTATCGAAGACAAATTAAAAGAACAGGTAGAATATGTGTTATTTTTTTATGACATTCTTGACTCTTTCTGTGTCTTTCTTTCTTTTAAGGGCAATACACTTATCATGGTGTGAAATTCTACACTAAGTTGTTTTGAAAGTCACCCGTTGGTTACGTCTCAAACTGGGCTATCGAGGTTTAGATATCGCAGGAATTATCAACCCATGCGAAATTGTGGATACATCTTCTCACTATTAGGAATCGGTCTAAGTAGTAAATTTGAGCTGCACGATTTGTTTCTTGTTTAATTATAATATGTAGCTAACTACCAATACACTGAGGTAAGTTGGTAAAGGGGAATTTAGGATGTTTTAATCTCTCAACAGCGTCTACTATCCAACTAAACAACTCATTTAAAATCCAATAATCCACTTTATCTGGAATTGTTTCAATTAAAAGGTCACAATTTCTCACTAAAAATTGACTACTTAATTATTGAAGTTAGGTAACTTGAATGCATAAACTCTTTGTGTCACATAGCTATAGAAAGTCACTTCACATGTTGACCTGAACTGGTTTTTATAATAGATCGGTCCTAGCTTTCAGTGGGATCCAGGGTGCGCACATTTCGTCCTATCCTGAACACATCATCTGGATGTAGCTCCATTCTAGTATTGACGTTCACACTATGACCTAAAGCCCAAATACCTTTCGCTTTCAAAATCTACATGTTATCCACTGAGCTACTAAGTCTAAATAGTCACTAACTTGTTCAATAATTCTCGAGCGCGGATAAAGCAGGAGGGTTGAGCATCGGGTTAGCGACCCCATCCCGTTGAAAACCAACTCGCAAAAAACGCTAACAAGATATTACTAATCAAACCATTTTAACTCAACTCTGAGAGTTGAAGGAAGAATTATGACTACTCATAATGAAAGCTGAGTTCCTACGGAAGTCACGATACCGATGTCCCTTCTAACAACCAGAGCAACAATTTTTACAGGTACATGGAACGTCCGGACTATGTGGGAGATCGAGAGAATCTTCCGAATTGCTGCAGAAATGAGTTAATAAAACCTGGGGGTGCTTGGGATCAATCAAACACATTGGACGCAGGTTGGACATAAACGACTATCTTCAGGGGAGCTGCTGTTATACTCCGGCTGTGAAGAAAAAAATGCCCCATATAATAATAACAATATATTCTGAAAATAATATTTACTGAATTCACACCAGTTTACAGGCATGATCAGATTGTTATAAAAATCAACATTTAATGTAGAGAGCAAACATGAAATATAAGAAAGTTTTATGTTTTCTTGTTTTTTAATTGATAAATAGTTTGAATATGGCATATATCACGGCAAGCCAATGCAACACCAGTTAACTTGTCATTTTTTCTTAAGTGGATAGCCTGATGTTTAATCAACGTTGTTCTGTAGGGTTATTTCCAGTGCCAGAGCGAGTTATTGATAATTATCTACAACTAGAGTAAGTAAGATTAAAGCAAAGAGCACGGAACAACAAAACAATGATAGCAAGTAAGAGGTTAAACACTTAAAGTTCCGATAATCTCACTTGTAAAGTAAGATACACTTGCAGGCGCTATAGCATTTAATGCATTTTCAGAGGAGCAAAAGGCATTAATGGATCGAACAAACAATAGGAGAGAGTTTAACGTACGGATAGTTTGAGGTACACAAGTGGCATTGTTGCTGTACAGAAAAGCATAAAATGCACTTATAGGATGGGAATCTCATGGACCCAGGATCACCAAAGCCTCCTTCAAAACAATGAAAGAGGGCACTACAATGAATATCATCCAGCCAACAAGAGCAGAAAAAGCTAGGGCACAATCGGAATACACTGAAGTAAACAAGCAAGTGATGATGAGTATCAGAGACAACAAACTTTATTGTGTGGAAGATTTAGCAATGACAGCGGAAAAGGCTGCAAGATAAGGCAATATGAGACAATTGTATGATACCACGAAGCAACTCGCTGAAAATTACCGTAAACCAGAACCAGTGAAAAGCAAGGAATGCCATGTAATCTTTAACATTGAAGAACAACGAAAGAGGTGGATGGAACACTTCAAAGAACTCTTGAATTAACCAGCTCCACTGAACCCACCCAACATCGATGCAGCACCCACGGACCTCCAAATCGATGTTGGCCCACCAACAATTGAAGAGATCAGCATGGCCACCAGATGAATCAAGAGTTGCGAAGCAACAGGACCAGACAACATTCCAGCAGACGCATTGAAAGCGGATGTAGCAGCAACTGCAAAGATACTCCACATTCTCTTCTGTAGGATTTCGGATGAAGAACAAGTACCAGCAGACTGGAAAGAGGTACTTCTGATGAAACCACGAAAGAAAGGCGATCTCAGCAAGTGTTATGACTATAGGGCCATCATTCTTCTTTCAATACCAGGAAAAGTCTTCAACAGGGTATTGTTAAACAGAATGAAGTACTCCGTAGACTCCCAACTTCGACACCAACAGGCCAGACCAAATCGTAACTCTACGGATCATTGTGGAACAATCAATTGAATGGAATTCATCACTCTACATCAACTTCATTGACTCCGAGAAAGCATTTGATAGAGTGCACAGGATAACACTATGGAGTATTCTTCGACACTACGGCGTACCTGAGAAGATAGTCAACGTCATACTGAATTCATATGATCAATTAAACTGCCAAATCGTGCATGGAGGACAACTCACTGACTCATTCTTGGTAAAGACCGGTGTCAGGCACGATTGCTTACTCTCATCCTTTCTATTTCTCCTAGTGATTGACTGGATTATGGAGACGCCAACATCTGGAGGGAAGTAAGGAATACAATAGATAGCTAGGATGAAGCTGGACGATTTGGACTTCGCAGATGATCTGGCTCTTCTATCACACACGCAACCACAAATGCAGGAGACGGCCAGTGTATCAGCAGCCTCAGCAGCAGTATGTCAATATAAACAAAGGGAAAAGCAAGACTCTCCGATACAATACAGCATGCACCAATCAAATTACGGAGAAGCTTTGGAGGATGTGAAAACCTTTACATATCTGGGTGGCATCATTGACGAACATGGTGGATCTGATTCAGATGTGAAGGCGCGGATCGGCAAAGCAAGAGCAGCATATTTACAACTGAAGAACATCTGCAACTCAAAACAATTGTCAGCCAACACCAACATCATATTATCGAGGCAATCCTCCCAGGAAGCACATATGCCAGTTAGGGAGACTAATAAATTTCATTCCAAAACATCAATGAGAATATTCAAGCAACCAGCGCAAATGAATCTCTGCGGAAAGCTGTCTCATAGTTCCATGAGAATGAGATCGAATATCAACCAGCTTGGAACCTGTTGTTGAGATTTATATTGAGTTGGTTAAGTTTGTGAGTATCTCGAAGGAAGGCTGTATTGAACTTATGTAATGCTGTTTCTCCAGTTGTCCAGTGTTTCTTTAGCTTCAGTTTCATCTTGGCCACAGGCGGTGATCTGAAGCTATGTCAACTCCTCTCCTGGTTCTCACATCTTCCATTGTCTTTCGGAATTTTTTGTTGATACGAATATGATCTATTCGGTTCTCTGTAGTGTGGTCCGGTGAGATCCATGCATCTTTATGTATGTGTTTGTGTGGAAATATTGTGCCGCCTATAATTTATTTATTTAAACACATATATATTGGTACAAAAGGGCACCAGGTACATATGCGCCACACAACATAATGAAAGTAGGAAGAGAAGGGATGAAAAGAAAAGGCGGACTGAAATGTACAACCAGAAAACTTATTCAGTTAAGAAAGTTAGAACCATTCTTTATGTAGAAAGTAAAAGAAGGTTGCAGCAGGATCGCCACTGGCTTCTATTCTGAGCCATATCTGATAACGTCTTTAGCCACTGTGTCGCACCATCTCTCGGACCCCAGCCAGGGAGTCGTGAAGGACCAACAGAAGCTAGCCCTTTGCAACTTTCTTTCATGCCACGACACCATGTCATACACTGACCTCCTCTCCGCTTTTTCCAACCAGTCCCAGGGTCGGCAAATGATGCACGACGTGGAAGTTTCTGGGACGACATTCGTAAAACATGTCCAAGCCACCGAAGTCGGTGTTTCAAGAAGGTGACACCAATTGAATTATCGTCTCTGCGCCCGAACACACGATGCCGAACCTCTGCACTACACAAATAAATGAAATGATGAATTGTATTGACGATATTATTCCTGCCGTCTATAACCTATTTGTTGAATGCACATATATTTGCAAATTTCTCCCCATTCTCATTTCTCGCTCCCTGTCCATGTCGTTCAATATATCTTCATATCCTGTGTTGTCCACTCCGACTTTAGCATTTAGATCTCTCATCAGGATGGTGGGGTCCTTTCTGGGGTACTTCGCTATGACTGATTGCAGCCTGTCATAGGACTGATCTTTATCGTTGTCGTTGCTATCATTGGTGGGTGCATAACATCGGATAACATTCATTGTGATCGCCTCCTTCTTTGACCTGAATGACGCTTTGATAATTTTGGACTCCAGAGATTCCCATCCCACGAGTGCATTTCGTGCTTCTCTGGACAGCAGTAGAGCAACTCCCTGAGTGTGTTGAGCATTTTCCTCTTCGTGACCAGAGTACAGCAGCATCTCTCCCGTACCCAGGCCTAGCTGCCCAGCATAGGTCCAATGGGTTCCGCTGATTCCAAGTACTGCCAATTTTTATCTCCTCATTTCCATTGCTATTTGACTAGTCTTTCCGGTCTCTCACATTGTCCGGACGTTCCATGTACTTATAAAAACTGTTGCTCTGGTTGTTACAAGGGGCATCGATCTCGTGATTTCCGAAGGAACTCGGATTTCATCATGAGTAGTCATAATTCTTCCTTCAACTCCCAGAGTTGAGTTAAAATGGTTTGAATAGTATTTTCTTGGGTAATGATTTTTTTAGCGAATAGGTTTTCTACTTATTGGGGTCGCTAACCCGACGCTCAACCCTCCTCCTTTACCCGGGCTTGGGATCGGCAGTAAGTCTAGAAGAGCTACAGGCGGATTTAGTGTCTACAGTTATAAATACAAAATCATTATTATATTTCTTAATTTTACAGTTGATAAAATATTAAAGGTGAATTCATCCAGACTATTTATTGAATATAACAAATTTCACGTCGATTAATTTATGACTACTACATATTACTAATAATAAAAATAAACTAACATCATTGATAATCGAAGATGGATAGTGGCTAGCAGTGGAATCCAGGACGCGCGTTCCGTCCTATTTCGTACTCGTCAGCTGGATGTACCTGCATCTTAGAGTTAATGTTCACTCTGGGACTCGAACGCAATACCTTTCACTCCAAAGAGACTGATCAGTTGCAGTTCTAAACAACAATTGGAAGACTCAAATAAACAATACTAAATGAATATAAGTTAGATTGTTTGAAATTGATGCCATTTGTTTCAACTATGTATAGAGTAAATGTAGTCTTCCACCTTTTTGGATAGATTACTAAGAACTTGAAATCTTCCTTTCTAATGTTATGTCCCTTATCAATAAATTGAAAAAAAGTGGTATCATTAATATTTCCTAACTTTACCGATACATGTTGACGTGTGAATAAAGTTAAGGACATATGAGTACAGTCAATACAACCAAGTTACACAAATCCGGTGAAATTGATCAACATACATAAATGGACCCATTATTGCTGTACTATTCGATTTGTTACGATTAGAATATTGAAGCTTAAAGTTCTTACCTGATAACTAATGTCAATTTATATGGAAAACCTTAACCTTGACTTATAACCTTTTCTTAATAACTAATTTATGACCATTGAAGTGGTTTTCATGTTTCTCATTAGTACAGTTATATACTTTGGATGTATTTATCTATTATAACGTGTGAGTGCGTGCATGCCCTGTTTGTTATATGAACATGCTGATGCCCGCCAATGAGAGAAGAGCGAATTATCCCATCGCAGCAATGATACACAAAAGCCATTTGAGCAGTCTTGAGTACTTATCAGTGCTGCTATCTGCCTAGCCCAGTCAGTTAAGTCCAGAACACCAAATAACAGCCTGTGCAATATGAATCATTATTCACAAACATACTGGGTTTATATACCAATCAAACAGACCACATCGTACCAATAAAATAGAAAATAACATTTGTACAAGATTTAGCCAAATGTGGCTATGAATAGGGGGAACAGTAATCAATAGACTGGGGATAACTCAAGAATGGTAAATCGCAGAGTAATGGTCTATGGGTCAAAATAAAGCTTATAATAAGAGGAACATGAATATGAATAGTTTAGTTACTTAACAAATATACAATAGGAAATATACATATCATATTGGTCTATAAATAGTCCTCGACGGTTACCATTCATAATTCTCCAAGGGATATAACACATCAAGTTACATTTTCAATAGGTTACCGATTTGTTTATACATTCTTCTTTTTTTACTTATGATACTTTTGTTCCCTTTTTCTATTCTATTCATTCATTTTTTCTCTCTTTTTTGCGTAACTCTCATTTCATCAATTCATACATACAGATTGTATTCTATAAAGAGAAATATCAATCATTCAACAAAACAATGTCAGATAGTCGAAAAATGTTTGATACTGCTAAAGAGGAAATGGAGAAGGTGAGAAAAATGTCTTTCTTTTTTCAATATATACTTATATATATTCTTTCTATGCATATGTCTCTTAAGGAATTAAGCCAATCAGTAAATGGTTTATGTCTCAGTTTTACAAGATCATGGGTCAATTGAAGTTAATTGTTAACATCGTCGGATGTCTACCGGCTTAATGGTCTAGAAGTTAAGCGTTTGCGCACGAGACCGAAGGTTCCAGGTTTGATTTCCGGGTGCCGAGTCATAAATGTGCACCTCTGAGGAGTCCAATACTAAGGCGAAACGACCGTTCAGTGCTTTCACGTGCCGACCGGTTATCTAACATTGATTCATAATTTCAACTGTGAAAATACTACAATCTATACAAATTCCTTCACACTAAAACTGTCAATGTCGAATTGACTAGTTTGATGTAATGTTAACATGAATAAGCTTATCAGTCAGTCAGTCAGCTATAACGTAGGACCAGGCACATATATGCATAGAAGTAGTTAGTTTAGTGGTGTTAATATATAAAAGAAAGATTGTATATAAGGATATAGTATAAGAAGAAAGAAAGTTTTGAAGCAATTTTAATCTCAAGGTTTAAGGGAAGATAAAGAGTGTATACTCCTACGTAATTGTGATCGATCCTGAGCCATGTCACCTAGAGTCTCCAACCATTGGTTACGATAGTCGCGCGGACCGCAACCAAGTAGTTTGCATCTGCCAACATAGCTCAGACTAGAAGTTAGTGACTTCAAGCCCGGATGCCATACTTTAGTTTGACGGCCCCTTACTCTCTTCCAACCATCGCCAATACTAGTCAAAACTGCGCATCGTGCTAATCGGTGTTCAGGCATACTGAACATGTGGCCCCACAATCTCAGTCGATGAAGATTCATGACCTCATCAACTGAGTTACCATCATTCTCTGATACCCTGTGTCTAACCTCACTATTACTTATTCGGTGATCCCAGCAGGTGCGAGCAATATTTCTAAGACATCTGTGATCAAATACTAGTAACTTACGAGTATTTTCTACTTTTAATAGCCACGTTTCACAGCCGTAAAGTAGAACAGAGCGAACTTCTGCGCAATATACTCGTCCTTTAATTGATAGACGGATATCTCGTCTTCACCATAGGTGACGTAAGTTGTCAAAATCCATAAGCTCTCACTCGACTGGTAGTGTTTGAGTAAAGAGCTTTCACAAGGTTTATGTACTTGAACAAGTTTATACGTGAAATCAAATTGTAAAATTACTTATGAAGGATAAATTATAATAACATAGGATAAAAGAAATAATAGTGTAATTACATACATCAGATCAAATGTTTGATCACATGTTACGCAATATATATAGCGTGATACATATTCAGTATGAAATGGTGCACATGGGCTCCAATATCCAGAGGGAACGAATGGTGTATGAACCAATTGTTGGTCACCGGCTACCATGGGACCGCATCTCCTCTTGATGCTCCACTGCCTTGTGGATCAGACCTTTAGGTCAAAGGCTCGGGGTGTGAACTCCTAAGAAAACCACCTGCTTCGGTCTGGGCACCCAAGCAGTATTACAGCCCTCACACAAATCAAAGATTTGTGCGGCGCATGTTTATCTGGTGTTTACATAAATAAATAAGTATGAAATAGTAGGCGAAAATGAGTACCAGTTAAATCCTTGATTTGTTTACAAGACTAAAATAATATCAATCATGTTGTAAAGATATGAACATATTAACAACAATATTTGAATAAGATGAATCTAATTCCTATGAAAGTGCGTGGAAGAAAAAGTTGACGACTCTATACACATTAGTTAGATCAGGTCATCTTGACCTATTGGATTTGTTGTTGACCATTTTAAAGTAGAAGAGACTGAACGTATTTCCCTTTTTATACGTACAATGCTCCGATTAATGTTTTAATTAATCCATATGGCTATAGCCTCTACCATTTGAAACCAATCTAAATCTGATAGATTTCGGTAAAAATAACCATTTAATAACGCTGTGGTGTATGCTACTTATGTCTTTCGACATAAGTAGTATGTAACACCGGTGGGAAGTGGAAACCTTGGCAGCAGAACGCTAAGAACATCAAGTTGATGAGAATAGAAGCAGAAATAGAAAGGAATTGTGAATAGGAAGAATTACGTTTAATGTGACGTACAAATGATGGAAATTTACAAATGAAGTATTCAATGTACGGTTCTAATGTTGTACCAAGATTTGTTATTTCTTTATTTGTTTGAACACATAAATTTTGGTAGAAAGGGTCACCGAATACATATGCGCCGCACAAATCTCCTTTGATTTGTGTGAGGGCTGTGATACTGCCCAGGTGGCCAAACTGAAGCAGGTGCTTTTCTTAGGGGGCCACACCCCGAGCCTTTGACCTAATGGTCTGATCCACAAGGCAGTGGAGCATCGTAAGGAGATGCAGTCCCATGGTAGCCGGTGACCAAATATTGGTTCATACGCCATTTGTTTCCTCAGGATACTGGAGCCCATGTGCACGATTGGTTTGGAATCAGGGTTTTCCAACCCACCTAGGTGAACTTTCCGTGTCCACCAACCCGGTTAAAGTGCCGGACATTCACTTTTCGTCCTCTCAATTTCGTAAACAACACCGGTGCCAAGAGAAGGCAGTGAGTCGGACGTTGGAATTACATGAACAAGTAATTCATTTGTTAACTGTTTTACCTACGCTTTTGTTTGGCACATTGCTTTGATATTGTTATTTCGATCAAAAGACTGGTCATTTTCAGATTTTCATGTTCAACAACGAGAAGAATATACAAACTGTTATATCATAAATTATATAGTGTAAATTAATCATATTGTCATCTGAGTTTTTCATCGAGATCAGTCCCATAATAGGACAAAACGGCCGTCCAGTGATTTCAGGTTTTCCTTGGTGATCTAGCTTCAATTGAATCACGCTTGCAACTATGAAAATAAATTTTGTCGGACTATTCCGACATCGTTGAACGTGGAATTGTACCTTATGAATAAAGGCAGATCGATTTTATTTGACCGCCATATTGTCATTTAATAGATATGAAGATCAATATGGATAAACATTGTCTTGTTCATCACATGGAAGTGAGAGTGAATGTGTTCCCTTATCTAGATATAAGTGCTCAAAGACTGTAATGAAAAGAAGACGAGACGTTTTACTGAAAGTGAAATGTTATACATTGTAAGGATTTCACGTTCCATACAGAGATTTGTAATTACCACAGCGATCACTGAAACTGAAAATTAATAAAAGTGTTATTGCCCAAGAAGATCAGTATCTATTTTGAATGAGCACCGTCTTTCTGTTCATAGTTTGCTTAGCTTTCTCCAATCCTCTTTCAACATAGACCTACGGATCACAAGGACTCCTTTTCAAATTCAAGTCTATCAACGTTGGCGAACATACCGTGTTACTGAAGTATCATGGATATCTGTCATCTATTATTTGCTTGTTAGGTGGTCGAAAATTTCCGCAAGATGTGATTTCTACGTTCTTTTACACGATCATGTTCAATGGAGTAAACAATTGACTTTAAAAAATCTTCTGATTCCTTAGCTTTATTAGTTTTTCAAATTTTTGTTGTGATACTTTTACGCCTCTTGGATCACACCTTCGTGACCTTGCATTAGCTGGTGAACCTTTAGTTACCATGTGATATCGAACAGTGTATTTGAGATCTGCATAATTGTACGATATCTTAGTCAGCTTATTCAAACTCTGTTACCACGGATTTATTTGTATGGTATTGAATTTACTATATTAAATGCATAAAAACGGACTGTCCACTAGCCCTCTTCCTTCTGTCGAGCGATAACTTTCTGTGTGTTAATTTCGTTATATATCAGCTGGAACATTCAAAGTCTAAACCATTTGGTCTTTCATCACTTACGGGAGGTGCAAAAGAATCCTGTAAAAATCGACATAATTTGATCGAAAATTCAGTTCTGATTACGAACAATGAGATAATTCAAAACTCTTACTAGTAATGAATACTATTATTATTATTATTTGCCCTGGAACAAGTATACTGTAGTCAGTATTTTTCGCCATCTTCATATTTGAGTGTCGGTACTGGCAAATAATGATTGTTAATTACGAAACGGTTGAACTATTCTATTACCCATTGGATTAGTGAAACTTGGACACGACACTTCAATATTTATCTATCAATATCAAAAGTAAGCGATAGTCTAGTAAAACTTGATATTTATGCAAAACAATTAGGAATAGTACAACTCAGTACGAAGACATGACCTCGAGTACACAGAAAATTTAATTACTAAGCTTAACCAATCAGAATGGAGCAAAGGTCTTGCTCAAAGTTTAATCAGTAGAAAAAAAAAGCATTTGCGATGATCGTTATTGTTATATCTTGTTAACTTGTATCCCAACCAATATATGACGTGACGACGTCACCAATCAGAGAACAGTGGACTGTCTACCGGACCAATGATGAGTAAACTCGTACGAGCAGTCTGAAGTCTATATCGGTCCTTGCTTCCATCCCATTTCCTCCTGCTAAGTCTAAAACAACAGATGAATAGCGAATGGAGAGAGGTGAAAAGGGTTGCTCAGGACAGTATTGAATGGAAAGGGGTGGTTAGCGGCTCAAGCTCCTCCGCGAAAAATAACAGGCGTAAGTAATTAAGTGCATACTGTTTGTCTTATAATTTGCCCATAATCAAATGTTATCATTAGCACTGTTGATAGCTATTTGTCACATTCACAACCATGGAAAGAATTTCGAAAACTTGAAAATGAAATTTTCCTTAGATAGATTTTCTCTCATTCGCTTGATGATGCAGTGATTTTGAAAATGTATGCGTTTGTGAAATCAGTCCGATTATCCCGATTGAATACAAAATAACACCAAGTTCTATCGTTTCTGTTAAACAAACGGAAGCTAGACCACCAGGAAAAACCTGGAAGCATTGGACGGCCGTTTCGTCCTATTATGGGACTTCTCGGCAGTGCGCATCCACGATCTCGTACTCGCGAGATT